GTCTGGCCAGGGCTCATAAGAGGGTATGTTTTAACCATCCTGAGATGATTGTAGGCTGTTGGCTAAGAAGTAGTGTTGATATCAGATCTAGTCCTCCGTTATCCTCGGCCCTTTGTAGCATTTTAAAACTAATACGCTGGGGTTTATCTTTCCAAAGGAATTTAGAAATGAACAGTTCCAGAGTGCTAAACCAGTCTGGTGGTGGTTTACTTGGGATCATCGAAAATAAAAAATTGATTCTTGGCAAGACCATCATTTTTATTGTGGCAACCCTTCGATCCCATTAGTGATTTGAGCCTTCCATAATTCTTTTTCTATCCCAGTGCAATCTACAAATATAAATATTTAGGTATTAATGTCTCTACTAATCTTGCAGATTTAACTAACCTAATCCAAACAACATCCCACTTTTAAAGAAACTAGAAGGAGCAATTAATCAGAAGAACTGTAGATTTTAACCAGTTTGTCGAATAATCTGAAACTTTTGAGAAAGAGTTTATTAATGCATTTACCTCAGTGAGAGTGGTTTGTGAGTTTTGGAGAAAAAGCAACACATCATCCACATAAAGACTAATTTTATGTTCTACATCCTTGCATTTTATACCTTTAATCGCAATAGCCATCTGATGTGGTCTGAAGTGAAGTGTGGCCATCCCTGTCTCTGGAGACAGAAATTGTCGGATGTTTGGTCATTTGTCCTGACACATGCTGTTGGGAATTGTAGAATATTTTTACCAGTTTATGAAAGAGTTTCCAAAACCAAATTTGTGTAGAGTTGCAAATAAAAATTTCCAGTTAACTCTGTCAAACGCAAACATTAATAGTCTATCAAATTAAGTAGTCTACGTGTATTTGATGAGTACATACCTTTTATGAAACCAGTTTTGTCAGGATATATTATTGGGGGAGTTATCTTCCCTAATCTTTTTGAGAGAGCTTTGCACATTATTTTAAGGTCAACATTAATGAGGGATATTGGACGATGGCTGGTGGGTAATACAGGGTCTTTGCCTGGTTTTAGTAGGAGACTAATGTTGGCAGACACGTCTTGATGCATGCTCAATCATCCAGGTAAGTAAATCTCCAAACGTTGATTCTGTTCATCTGGACGTAGGGTAAAATTGGGGAAACCTGCTTGAGTGACGAAACGTTTCTCCCACCTAAAACGCTACGTCCAGATGAACAGAATCAACTTTTGGAGATAATGTTGGCAGAATTCATATTTGGTGGTAGTTTGCTATTTTCCTTGATTTCCTGCAACATTCTGTGGAATACTGGTGCCAGAATTGTCCCGAATTCTTTGTAGAATTCTGCTGGAAATCCATCTGAACCTGGAGCCTTATTATTGGGTATACTTCTCAGGGCTTCCTGGAGTTCACCAGATGTCAGCGGTGAATCCACTGCTGTTACTTGACTGTCTGGTCATTTCAGAAGGGCAACGTTGTCAAGAAACTAATCAGTTTCATTTTTTGGTGAATATAAAGTTTTGTAAAAATCCCTAAAAGTGTTGTTTATTCTTTCAGGGTCATATACTGTGCTCCCAGATAAGTCTTTAATGGCACCTATAGTTGTTTCTTTCTTTATTTTTAACTGGTTAGCAATAAATTGACCAGATTTGTTACCATGTACAAAATTTTGCAAGTGAAGTCTTTGTACTAAGAATTTAATTTTTTTTCTATTAATAATTTCATTTAATTCTAGTTTTGGTTTATGTATTTTATTCAGTATTTCCTGTTCCTTGGAGGACACATAGTCATCTTCTTAAGATTTTTCTAATTCCTGAATATGTTTGTTTTCTATTTTCTTTTTATGTGATGAGAAAGAAATAATTTTACCTCTCATCAGAGCTTTCCCTGCTTCCCAGAGAACAGAGGCTGATGTTCCAGGCTGGTCATTACAGTCTAAATATAAAGCCCACTCTTTTTTTAAGTATTTAATAAAATCTTCAACTTTAAACAATGATGTATTAAATCTCCAGTTTTTACTTGGTGGAAAGTGTTAGAATCAAACACACATTAGCAGGATCACTGACAGATATAGGGTGTATCTCAGTGTCTCAAATGTCACTCAACAGTGAGCTGCTGACGAAGAAATAATCCAGATGAGAGTAATATTTTTGTGTATTAAAAATGCTACTCCCCTTTGTCTAGAGTTATAGCAGGCTGAGAACACATTAGGAAACTCAAGTTTTTGAAGTTTATCTGTAGCTGTGTCAGGTCTATGAGTCTCCTGTAATAACAAAAAAAGCGTGTTTGTGATCGTGCCGTGTAGATGTGTAAAGATTGAGGGTGTTGTAGGTGACTGCGTAGGAAAACAAGCGCAGTAAAAGAAGGGAGAAGGAAGAGAACCGTGAAAAAGGGCAAGCGGGAGGAATGAATGAAAAGGAAGAGGAGAATAATAGAAAAATGAAGCAGATTCTGTTGTTAATACAACCAGGGAGTGTTGCTGGGGTTGCAGTAGCGCTCTTCGAGCTCTTACTATCTCATCAGAATACTGATTGTTGTGTCGGACTTCTCATGTTATTCTTGGAATGTTGACAAACAGAATTCACACTTTTATATCAGAATTCTGGATTTCATCCCAGACTCTATCCTGGTTCTTAGAATTCTGAACTTTACTTAAGAATTTTCACTTTCTTCTTAGAACTTTGCCTCTTAGAATTCTCACTGAGTAATAGAAGCTCACACAACCATTATGTACTCCCATGTTATCCCAGCAATATGATCACCATAGAAATACAGTCAAACAGATCCTCCACAGTTGATTCCAAAGCAAATGCTGTAAGATCTGTTGGCCATTAGGACTAAAACACTGAAGTCAAGTCTATAGAAGACACATTAGACAGAGCAAAAATGCTATTTTCTTTAACCTCAAGGTAGTTTGTATGGAGGGTGTTTATGTAAAAAAGAACAAATGTGAATTGACACAAACTGCAGATGTAGCCAGTAGATACTTACATGAATTTATTAAAAGAAATGAAATAAATAAAGAACAAGTATTTGAGCTGCTTTAACATCCCAGAGAACAATGTGAGAATTTATGCATTTTTGCTTAAGTATTGCTGATGTATAGCATATTATTATGATTAAAATGAGATTAAAAAAAAAACCCAAACAGTTTACCATGAGACACTCCCTGTAGAATCACCATCAGTCCAAGCACAACTTCCATGTCTCCTCCTTGTTCAGTGTGCGCTGACAAAGTCAGCATACTTTATTAAATGGCATGTACATCAAGGAGTTAAAAGTCACAATTGGCTTCTGATAAACCTCTAAGACAGTTCTTTCTGTATATGTGGAAAGCTGAAAAGGAACACCAGCACATATTTCACATAATCTACGTGGTAGAAATAAAAGGAACCCCTCAGAGCTTGTGCAGACTTTTTACTTATTGCTCACACTTTCACTAAACTACTTTTAGATCTGTAACAAGTTAACACTATCTTGCCCATCACTTAGTGTGTACTAATACAGCACTCCCCTTTCTATAATTCAACTGTTTATATCTCATCTTAAATGGGAAAATAAATATTTGATGGTCCACAGTATCAAATGGAGCAGATCATCTACGAGCACAACTGACTGAGCAGTATCAGGGTTACATAATAGATCATTACCCTCTAAAGTCAGAACTATGAAAATATTTTTTTAATTCACATTTTTTTAATCTATTTGCATTCATGACTTTCAAATTAATAATATTTACTGCATGCAGTATTTTCTATTTATTGCTTACAGTAGCGCTGCATGTGTCTGATAAGTGCAAATAAGTATAATTCTGTTTGATCTATTTTTAAGTGCAGAAATACATATTTCTGTTTTTGGCTTATAGCATTTCCACAAATTCAGTCATACTCATCCTAAGTAAGAAAGTATTTCTGAAGGTCCTTTTGTTTTACACAGTAAGCTGAGTTATGTGACTAAGTAGGAATTGGATCTGAGCTACATTTTACCTTAAAAAGCAACTAACATATAACAATAAAGTTACATTACCACTTCTTCTTAATGAAATTATTATTATTATTATTTACAGTCAACTTTATTAAAACAGTTACATTATTCTTCAGTTGCATGAGAAAATAGGCGTGTGAAACAATGTAGAAGTTTGTGTATATTTTAGCAACACAGAGCCTCAGTTTCACCCTGAGATCTCACCATACAAGGAGATATGTTCATTTTACACCACCACCATATGTAAGAAGTGAAACGCAGACAATGGTCAACATACAAACTGCAGGCCCACAAAGAGCCCAGCTATTGTACTTTTATTTCTCTTCATTTTTTCCTGTCAGTTTTCCTAATGTCAAATCCACACTGATAAATATGCCATCCTATTAGTTATAATTAAAACACAATTTTCAAACTTTTTTTATTCATACAAAGTAATATATGAATTAAATGAGGCACTAAACACAAGGTTTGATATATCTTTTAATATATTTCTAACTAGAGTGAAATATTTTTTTAAAAAATGCCTACTTACTCACTGAAAAATACTTTTCCCATTCATTTACAGTGTTTTTATTGCTTTTAAGGAACTTTGAATCAACATAATATACATGACTCTATATTCTTATGTGGCCTGTAAAATATGATCACATAGCTACAAGCATAAAATTTGTATTGTTTTCAAGTCTTTTTCAACATTAAACACATACAATATGAAACTTCCACAGTCACCTCCTGATGTTTAAGCAGCTTGGAAAAGAAAGCAACTGGACTTCTTTAAGTTTCATGAAAATGTTTCATCTCTGGTCCAAGAGGCATCTTCACTTCTAAAAACAAATGGTGGAGAGTCCCAGGTGTTTAAACCCTGGTAGGAGTTGTCCCTTATGAGCGTCATTGACCCACGATTGATCGTGTGCTTCATTGCATGAGCCAAGGTGTTTTTTTTTTTTTTTTTTTTTTTTTTTTTTTTTTTTTTTTTTTTTTTTTAGGCATGCTTTTTCAGATTTTTTAGCCTACTTCACTTTGTCACACCGGTTTTTTTTTTGGTTTTTTTTTTTGTTTTTTCCCTTTTAACTTTTTATTTTCACAAATAGTACATAATTACATAACATAATACAGTGTACAATTCAAAACCAAAAAATAAACAAACAGACAAACAAACATAAAACAAACAACAAACTGATAACTAAACACAAAAAAATAAAATAAAATAAGTTTTTATAGCGTTTAGTACTTCCTCTCTAGAAATGGGAGCATTAAGGGTAGTCTGTTGTTTATTTGTTATAGTAGGCAGACTAAGCCTGGAGAAGAAATCCTCCATTAATTCCAGTGCATTAACTGATTGTTCAGATGTATATAGTCTACAATAAAATTCTTTAAAAATGCTATTTATAGTTTTACTATCATATACGCGCTCATTCTGAGCATCACAAATAACTGTAATAAATTGTGTTTGAGATCTTTTCTTGGTAAGGCATGCCAAGTATTTTCCCGGTTTGTTTCCATGTTCATAAAATCTTTGTCTAGTAAACGTAAGGTTAAGCTCTTCATCTTGCGTAAAAAGGCTATCTAAAGTTGATCTGACTGCAGAAATCTCTTGTAGTAAAGCTGGGGTTGGGGAGTCAGCATAAGTCCTTTCTTTTGTTTTAAGTTCTACCATTAACTGATTCTGCTTCCTCACTTTTTGCTGCCGCTTACTGGTTGAGTAAGAAATAAGAATCCCTCTAGTGTACGCTTTAATAGTTTCCCACAGTAAGGCGGAGTCATTTGTTGACTGCAGATTAATAGACAAGAAGTATCTAAACTCAGTGTTAAAGTAAGATATAAATGTATGATCCTTTAAAATAATTGTATTTAACAATACAATACAATACAATGAGCCAAGGTGTTTAAAAAAACAAAGCATGAGTCCTTACCACCAGAGGTTTTGAGTGAAACCACCCTAAGCCCTTACCTAAAACTATTATGTGACCCATCACTTGACAAAGCAGGGATTGAGGAACCTGGGAAAGGATCTAAAAACTGGGTTGTAGGTGGCAGACACTTGGTGTTGTAATGGTAATGACTTACACCTTGGGTCATATGATGACGGACATGATTATTAGTGGGTCAAAGACCTTCTTAAGTGAAACACTCCACCATTTGGTTTCAGAACTGAAGAGGTTTGTCGGATGAGAGGTGAAGCGTCTTCAAGAAACTCAGCGAAGTCCAGTTGCTTTCAAGCCAAGTTCCTTAGGTTACTATGACCTGGATACCTGAGAACCTACACAGACCTACTCCTGATTGTTGTTTTTGAATTTCCTTTTTATTTTTATTTCATTGATCCTCAGTTCAGTGTCCAGTGCTGATTATGAGAGAGGTCTGTTCACTAAAGCTCAGACTCACACTTAAGGTTTATATTCTCTGTTTCAAACCTGAGGCTGTGAAAGAAAGAAAAAACAATTATAGCAAAACAAAGACTTTTACAATTACCCATCAAATGATGGTATTCACTGGAATTATGTTATTGTTTATTAACCTCTTTTGATCATGGGCCGCCTTGTTAGAAGTCTTCTTAAGATGCTTCAGTTCCCGATACACAACACAGCATGACACTGCTATCAGAGGAGATCCCAGTGCAGCAAAGACTAGCCTCAGGTAAGGAAAACTGTGTGCTGAGAGAAGAGAACACAGTGATAACTAGAAAGATTTGCATTTCCTGCGAAAATGCAGTGTGGATGCTTTAAAGCTGAAGCTGTATGCAAAAACTAGCTGAAAACGCTGAAAAGTTGCAGAAATTGTAAAAACTTTGCAGAAGCAAAGGAACTTTGCTAAAATGGAATAACTTAGCAGAACTGCAATATCTTAGAGGAAACATAATACTTGGCAGAAATACAATAGCATAGCAGAACTTGGCAGAAATATTGTAACTTACCAGAAACATGATAACTTCTCAAAAATACAAGAATTTAGGAGAAATAGTATAAGATAACAGAAAGAATATATTTAGCCAAAAATACTTAAGCATTACAGAAACACTATGATTTAGAAAAATAGTACAACAGAGCAGAAATACTGTGATTTACCAGAGACACTGTGATGAACTATGAATATTGTAATTTTAAATCAATACTATGTTTTAGCACAAATACTATAATTTGACAGAAATACTATATTTAGCACAAATCTTATAAAATAGCAGAAATAGTATGATTTAGCACAATAGTAATAACTTAAACAGAAAAATTGGAAAAGCAAAATGGACAGCTGAAAAAATGCTGAACATGCTGAGGGTCCCTCAAATATACTTGTTAAATGAAAAAAATTGGCAAAAAAAATATAACAGCCACACAATCACAAATATGGACACATATGGAAACACACATGCACAGAGAGAGACACACACAAGATCCAATCTCTTACAATGAGATCATCCCATAAAAAGGCTTCCTCTCTCTCTCTCTCTCTCTCTCTCTCTCTACCTCTCTCTCTCTCTCTCTCTCTCACACTCACACTGTCTCTCTCTCACACACACACACTCACACACACACACACACACACACACACACACACACAGAAGTAAGTTTCTAGCTCAGTCAAGCAGCCTTGGAGCTGTTGAATTTGAATCCACCAATCAGAGAGCCTGTGCACTTTTTCCCGCCAAAACAGGTGCATGCAGCACAGAGAGACACAGGATTTTTGCAGTCTATTTCTCATAATGACGACTCCCCTCAAACAAATGACCATAATTTCCTAACCGTAGGGGCTAGAGCGGTCATTCTTACACCGTTTTGTTCAGAAGAGATGGGGGAATCTTAAAGTGTTGACAATTTATCATTAAAATATGAATTATTAAAGATAATTGACTTCTAATGCACCATAACTGAGTAGAGCAAAGCAAAAACTGCCTTGACTTGCCCTCAAACAACGCTTTCTAACTCTAAATCTATTTGGAGTATCAATATCATTCTTTCACCGTAAGAGACAGCAGGCTTTGGTGAACAATCATGGAAATTTTCAGGTCTCTGTGGAAATCCATTAAAAAGATATGACGAGAGAAAAAAGTGGTTCATTTCCAGAGTTTGAAATCTGAAGAAATCTGAGCGAAGGACGAATTTCCTACCCTCAAACAAGTCTAACTCATTTCAGAACGGTAATAGGTGAGAAAATAATTCTTGAATTGTGAGCGTCAGGAGTGTCTGAAGATATACTGGGACAAGCCTTATGTCTTAACTTTGCTTCGTTGAGGAGATATGACGATTCGAATATGCCTCTCATTACAGAAATCAAGCGGTGATTTTGAACAAGCTCTCCATTGACTTTCTATGGAGAGTTTTGCGACTTTGTGTTGGTCTGAGGAGATTTGCCAAAATTCTATAAATCCCACAACAATGATAGTGACATTTTCGGAAAGCCAGCAAAAATACCTACGTTTTGATGTATAATTTGTGGAAGTTGAGTGAAGATTGAGCAAGTAGCAAGAAGTTGTTCGGACATGAAGAGAAGACTGCAAAACCTTCAGTGGCAGACTGGAAGCCAAGTGCAATAGCAACCATAACAACGCATGTATTTTGTGAAAAATCACAATTTTGCAACTGAAAACTTTAAGAGGCATAAAGGTAAAACGGTAAAAGATTTGAAAAAGCTGAATCATACCTGAATAGCCCAATAATTTGAGAACATTTTAAAGTTTGAATGGTTGTTCTACGTGAAAATATGAGGAAGTAGTTAAGTTTCAGAAACAAGCAAATTTTAGCAGAATTGCAGAAGTTTCCCATTCATTTCAATGGGACAAATTAAGCTTAATATTTTAAAAAGTATAATAGTGAAAAATACCAAAAGACATAGCAGGAATTAGCAGAAATAGCAGAATATTTTAAAATTTGAACGGTGAAAATCGGCTGAAAATTGCGGAAGTAGTTAAGTGCCAAAAAGTGTACGGAAGTCCCAAGAGGAACTCTATAGTGTGGATGCTTAAAGCATCCACACAATTATAAGTACAGTACTTACAATTTATTCAAGCGTAAACTTTGGTAAGACTTTGGTATTATTATGGTTAACTAACTGTAAATATATAAATGTTTGGGCACAACCCCCACACACTGGGTACCCTTAAGCCTTGTTTCTTAAGATGTAGCGATGTGAGTTGATGTATTTCACGTCAATCTTTTTCTAAAACTAATCAAGTAACTTTAGTGACTAAACTAAATAAAGAGGTGGTGAAAGAAGACTGGAACAATGGGGGAAAACACTCAAACGTGTTGCATTGCCCTCCAGGTTCCTCCTCCTCCCTGCCGGTCTACCTGTCAGAGTCCTGGGTCTGTGGCCCAGTATGTGGAGTTGTTTAGTATCTATTTTCCATGTTATGGCTGTCTATGTTTTGAGTTTCTATTTGTAGGTCCTAGGTTTTGGCCCCGTTGCACCTCATGTTATCCTGTGCTCCCTCTGCTCTGTGTCTTGTCATTCCCTGCTGGTGTGTTCCCTCTGTGTAAGGCCCGTGTTTCTTAGTCTGTGTCTTTGCATGTGTGTTGAGTGTCCTGTTTTATTGTGAAGGTCTGTGTCAGTGTATTCAGTTTGCATCCTCCCTGTCTCATCAGATTCATTAGGTTCAGCTGTGTCTCCCTCCTGTGTGCAGTTTCCTCATTTCTTAGTTCTGTTTCTCACCACCCTCGCTATTGGTTGTATGTCATTCTCCTTCAATAAAGCTCACTCACACATCAGCCAATGCCTGTGCTTTGGGTCCTTCACAAACACCACATGACACTATCCATGAGCTCTACAAACATCTATAATATTTATAGATGCTCTAGACAGAGCTGATTAGCATTGTTTTAAAGTTACTATTACTTTACAATAACAATTCAGATAATTTCATAAAAAATTAACATATTTTTACACATTATAATTTTATTAAAAGATAAAATAGTTAAAAGTATTTAACTATAAGTTTACCATTTATTAACCAAGTTATGAAGTAATTTATGTTAAAGCAAATGTAACTGCATTTGCAACAAGGAAGATCTTAATACTCGTATGAAACAAGTCAGCTTGTTATGGGGTTGAGGATTCACTACTATATAACTAATAGTTAACATTATTACATGTTATTTAATACTTCATTAAGTGACCTCCATACAAGTATTAAGAACTTCAGCTTTGTTTCTTCCATAGCCTTTGCATGTTAACACTTTCTGATTCACACATGTTCTTATCTTTTATTCTTTTCATTCTTTTTGTGAAGCACATTGTGACGGAAATTGGTAGATAGATAAATATTATTCTTTTTTTTATCTTTCACTAAACCTGACCATACCACACCAGAGCTGGTAGTGTTACACACTGAAGAAAAGCCACACTGAAAACTTGTGCTGAACAAGGGCAAATTTCCTGTCACAAAACCGCATCTGCTAAAATATTTCTTCTTCACAGCTTAATGTTCTCATTTAATGCAACTAATAATAATCAGTGACCAAGTGGAAAGTTTCAGTGTGCCTTTAGAGTTTAGGTGGTAGTTACTGGGTAATAAAAGATGATTAAATCATAAAAATGAATAGCAGCCCATGTGTGGCTAAATGACCACAAATACCAATAGAGAGACAAATACTGCATCAACATATACTCTGTTCTATTCTGTTCACTGTACATTTCCATCTTTCTTTCCATATGTTTTTCCCCCATTCTAGCTTCTATCATTTGTTGCACAAGTGATGTTTACTGTGTTTAACAGTTCTACTGCCACATGATGCTTACATTTGTAATTAACTTTATAATAACATAAAAACTAGGCAATAAAGAGTAACTTACTTAACTTGCTTTCAACTTTGCTGTTGTCTTTAACATCCAGGGTGAAATTAATGTTTTTCTCTTGGACTCCATTTGAATTAAAGATCTCAATGCTGTATTGACCTGAATCATTCTTCTTCAGGTTTGTGATCTTGAGTGTCCCGTTCTTGATTATAAACGTTAGTCTGTTGTTAAATTCCTTGTCTGTCATTATTTTTTCTTTCTTCAGACTGAACACAGTTTTTGTCTCATTGGGAAGCACCTTCAAACACTTCATTTCACGGCCACTAGCATCAGTCATTACTTGGATATACACAGTTCCTTCAAGAAGAGGAGAGCATGGACATGTGCTCGTCCTGAGGTCACATGTGGTCGCATCAACTGGAAAGAGAGCTGGAGAAGATGCATTTAATAGAACATGAGGTGAAATTATTCACACTACAAATGTGAATGTTTGGCTTCTTTATGAGGACAATCTTACCTTGAGTTCCTCCTGCTAGTAGCACAATGATAAAAAAAAACTGTTCCATGCTCATCATTCATCCACGGTGTGGTTTTAATCTTTCCAAGCTTCTAGAAAATTATGTACAAATCTGGGTGTAAATCTGCTGCAAACCTGAGTCCTAACTGACAGGAAACAGTCAACGGGAGATGATATATTTAGTTATTTTCAAAGTTAGGAAATCAACTTTCACTTCTGCTTGCCAACAAAAAGACTCAGATGAGTTGTTTGCGTTTTGTAGTGACCTGATTTCAAGAAATATCCATCAAATGCAAATAAACAATTTCCCCCTCACTTTTATACGCAAAACGAAATCTAGACAAAACACACTTTCAAAAGTGTGTCAGGCACACATACTTTCTTCACATGTACTTTTGAGAAAGAACATGCAACATCTGAAGTGACACGTTAAGTCACAAACAGTTGTTCCTGTGGGGAGAGCTTTATTGCTTAAGAGTCTTTACAGGGTGTCCAAGAGAGACATCATTTTATGTTTGTAAGTTTGCAGAGTTTGCTTTCTGAAAGGAAGGAAACAAATTGGCGTAGAAAGAATAAAATATAAACAACCTATGAAAAAGCAGCTTACTAAAAGGATGCAAATCATGAGCACAATATGAAACGGTGAGGCAATGCTGACCAACAAACAAAGAAGCCTTTTGTCTACCAAAGGAGGCTGAATTCAATATGAGAATCTCAGCTACACAACTAAATAATAAACAACAATAATCAATAAATAAATGAACATGACGTGATTATGCGATGGAAGCAAACATTACAGATCTTCACTTTTCTAATTAGCCTCAGGCTAATTAGCAGGCCTTTAGCATGAGGAGTGATGATAAACATGAACATAAGAAGAATCAGGTAAACTATTGTTTAATCAAGGTAAAGATGAATGTAAATAGTTTACTTACAGTTAAATAGATGCACAGAGCAGCACAGGCTAAGGTAGTATGTAAGCACTGAGCTACAAGTGAGAAAAGCTCATCAGCCAAAAAAAAAGACCCATGCATTGGTACTTCCTGCTTTACAGAGCAGAGATGGAACTGTGTGTGGTGCAGGGCTTTTATAGTCAGTGAGTCTACTTTGACTTTTATTTTGTATACATCTTCTTATTCTGCCCTAAAAATAGAAGTGACAACTACATCCATGCGCACACGTCCATCAGAATGTACATGTTGGCATTAGTTGGGCATCTCATAAGTTTTTACTCTGCCACAGTGCAATGCCACAAAATAACCAGTTCAGAATCAGAATCAGAATCAGAATACTTTATTGATCCCTGGGGGAAATTATTTTTTGTTACAGTGCTCCACTTTAAACCAACATTAAGACAAGACAGACAATACACTAACTAAGAATAGTACAATATATACATATATATACATACATACATACATAAGTCACTTATAAATAAATATTTGGAAAAGAAACATGTGTAGCTGTAGCAGCAAACAGTGTGTTAAGTGGATGCGTTGTACAGGGAGATGGCCACAGGCAGGAATGATGTCCTGTGTCGTTCAGTGGTGCTTTTCGGTAATCTCAGTCTCTCACTGAACGAGCTCCTGTGACTGACCAACATGTCATGGAGTGGGTGGGAGGTGTTATCCAACATTGTCTTTATCTTGGACAGCATCCGCCTCTCCGACACCACCTTGAGGGAGTCCAGCTCCATCCCCACAACATTGCTGGCCTTACGGATCAGTTTATTAAGTCTGTTGGCATCTGCGACCCTCAGCCTGCTCCCCCAGCATGCAACAGCATAGAGGATCGCACTGGCCACCACAGACTCATAGAAAATCCTCAGCATTTTCTGGCAGATGTTGAAGGACCTCAGTCGCCTCAAAAAATAGAGACGACTCTGGCCCTTCCTGTAAAGTGCTGTGGTGTTTTTAGCCCAGTCCAGTTTATTGTCAATGTGTACTCCAAGGTATTTATAGTCCTCCACAATGTCAACACTGACCCCCTGGATTGAAACAGGGGTCAAGTGTTTCCTGGTCTTCCTGAAGTCCACGATCAGTTCCTTGGTCTTTGCCACGTTGAGCTGCAGATGATTCTGCTCACACCACGTGACAAAGGAGTCGACCACAGCCCGGTACTCTGTCTCATCATCCCTGCTGATGCATCCAACCACCGCAGAGTCATCAGAAAACTTCTGAAGATGGCAGGTCTCTGTGCAGTGGCTGAAGTCTGTGGTGTAGAGGGTGAAGAGGAAGGGGGAGAGGACAGTCCCCTGTGGTGCCCCTGTGTTGCTAATCACCTTGTCAGACACACACTGTGGGAGACGTACATATTGTGGTCTTCCTGTCAGGTAATCAACAATCCAGGACACCAGAGAAGCATCCACCTGCATCGCTGCTAACTTATCACCCAGGAGGGTCGGCCTGATGGTGTTGAAAGCACTGGAAAAGTCAAAAAACATGACCCTCACAGTGCTCGCCGGCTGGTCCAGATGGGTGTAGACACGATTGAGCAGGTAGATGATGGCGTCCTCTGTTCCGAGACGAGGCTGATAAGCGAACTGAAGGGGATCCAGATGTGGTCTTACTATGGGTCGCAGCTGGTCCAGGATGAGCCTTTCCAGGGTCTTCATGATGTGGGAGGTCAGTGCCACGGGCCTGTAATCCTGGGGGCCACTGGGACGGGGCGTCTTTGGTACAGGGACGAGGCATGATGTCTTCCACATCACCGGGACCCTCTGCAGACTCAGACTCAGCATAAACAGTTTATGAAAGACTCCACACAGCTGGGGGGCACAGGCCTTGAGGACGAGGGGACTCACTCCGTCTGGTCCAGCAGACTTGCCTGAGTGAAGTCTCCTCATTTGCATCTCAACCTGGTATTGAGTGAAGGTGATGGGTGGGGGAGGGGTGTCAGGAATCTCACAGGAGGCAACATGTGAAGAGAGAGGCTGGCACAGTGGTGTGGCTCTGGATTCCAGGCTGACTGCAGGTGAGGTTGTGGGGGTGGGAGCAGACACTGTGGTGTCGAATCTATTGAAAAACAGATTCAACTCGTCGGCTCTATTCTCACCTCCCTCAGCTCCCCTGCTGTTGGTTGGCCTGAATCCAGTGATGGTCTTCATGCCCCTCCACACCTCTCTCATGCTGTTCTGCTGGAGTTTCCACTCCAGCTTCCTCCTGTAATTGTCCTTAGCCTCTCTGATCTTGTCCTTTAGTAACACCTGGATCTTCCTCACCTCCTCTTTGTTGCCCCCTCTGAAAGCCCTCTTCTTGTTGTTGAGGAGGGCTTTGATGTCCTTAGTCACCCACGGCTTGTTATTTGGGTAACAATGAACAGTCTGAGCTGGAACAATGGAGTCGGTGCAGAAAGTTATGTAGTCTGTGATACACTCAGTAAGCCCATTGATGTCCTCGGCGTGAGGCTGACAGAGTGTTTCCCAGTCGGTCACCTCGAAACAGCCCTGTAGTTCCGCTATTGCCTCCTCTGACCACCTCCTAACAGTCCTGGTGGTCACAGGTTCCCTCCTCACAATTGGCACATAGCGGGGGGTGAGGTGAATCAGGTTATGATCTGACCTACCAAGTGGGGGGAGGGAGGAGGAGCTGTATGCATCCTTGACGTTAGCATACAGTAAGTCTAAAGTTTTCTCTCCCCTGGTGGGACAGTCCACATATTGTTTGAATGTTGGTAGTGTATTGTCCAGTGATACATGGTTGAAGTCACCCGAGATCACAATAAAGGCACTCGGGTGCTGAGTCTGTAGCCGAGCTATAGCAGAGTGGATAGTGTCACATGCAGCTGTGGGGTTAGCAGAGGGGGGAACATAAACAGCCACCAAGATGACGTGAGAGAATTCCCTGGGTAAATAATACGGCCTGAGTCCAACAGCACACAGTTCAGTGTCTGGGCAACAAATCCTTTCTTTGATTGTTATGTTGGCAGGGTTACACCACCGGTTGTTAACTAAAACAGCAAGCCCACCTCCTTTACGCTTACCGCTAGCGATGCTGTCCCTGTCCGCCCGAACAGTGTGGAAGCCTTCCACGGAAGCATTCTCATCGGGAATGTCCTGGTGCAGCCATGATTCGGTGAAACACATCAGGCTACACTCTCGGTATTCCCTCTGACTCCGTACTCCGGTTCAACATATATTCAGCATAAAATGTAAATATACAATTTGCAGGAGTTAACCAAGAGCTATTCTATTCTGTTCTGTTGTATTCTATTTTCCAAATAAAGTTCATGAGCCATACCATGAAGATATGAGAAAGAGTTGTTGAAGCTAGGTTAAGAGGAGAGGTGACAATCAGTGAACAGCATTATGACTTCATGCAAAGAAAGAGCACTATAGATGTTTGCTTTGAGAGTGTTGAAGCGGTATAAAGAAGGTCAGAAGGAGTTCCACTGTTTATTTGAATATCTAGAGAAAGCATATGATAGGTGAAAGAAATCTCCGTCCCGGGTCATCCGTGGATCGGGTTTACCTCCGAGGCGTGGGCACCCATAAGCAGAGTTTTGTCTTTACCCTATAAGATTCAAAATTATTCAAAGTAACACTCAGGTATGCCGTTCAGCAGGTTAGTTACGACGTCGGGAGTAGCTTGGGAGAACAAGGAAACACAGACTGCTTCAGGTTGCCTTCCCAAACCAACTCAAAGTTTATTTGTCATACAACAGTTTATATAGAGGAAAAAGGTTCGTGTCTCAGCAGATTCTCAGTTCAAACTGGTACAGACCAAATAAGGAAGCGTCTTCCTGCCCTCTGAGCAAAGAAGTATCCTTTGTATAGTTTATCAGTTCAGCTACAATTTATGATTATCCCAGCGAAATACACTCCTAGACATAGAATACAGAGTTCTTTCATTAGTGAATTCTGAAACAAACCACCTGGCCTTTAACAAGCCTTTTTCTAAGAGATAAAGAAGGGAGGATGGGAGTAAGGAAGTGATCTCTGTGGTGTTTTCGACCTTGAGGTACCAGCCTGTGATTCTTACACATTAATTCTTGGGTCACAGAGAAAGAGAAAAACAACTAGTAAATGGGCCTTATTGAGTAACAGTTTTCCTGTATAATATCACTATAAAACAATATCCTGTAAATGCTACCATGGTATCAAAATATCACAACAATAGGGTGCTAAGAAAAGAACTGCGGTATTGCAGGAGGAAGTCAAAAGTGGCATACAAATATGTGATTATGAGAGGGTGATGCGATGGATAAAGAAAGCAAGAGCGTGGTGTGCAGGTGTGCAGGTGATGAGATAGATGGGTTCAAGGTAGGGGTGGGATTGCATCAGGGATCAGATGGGAGCCACCTATTTGTGAAGGTGATACACAGGTTGATAGATGAGGTCAGGCAGGAGTCTCTGTGGATTTATGTTGTTCGCAGATGACATTTTGATCTGTTTAGAGAGTAGGGAACAGTCAGCCTGGAAAAGTGGAGGTTTTCTCTAAAGAGAAGAGGAATGAAAAGTCAGTAGAAGCAAGACAGACTAAATGTGTGTAAATGGGTAACAGTGACACTGCAACAAGTACAGGTAATGAAGGTGAAGTAGTTTAAATGTCTCAGGTCAATCATCCAAAGCAAACAGGCAAAGCATGCAGGCCAAGTGGAGTGGGTGGACATGACTGTGTGGGGTTATTTGTAAATAGCAGCAAAAAGGAAGGTTTATAAGGTTGTAGTGAGACCTACTATGATGTATGATTTGGAGACTGGCAATAACAAAAATAAAAGACGCAGAGTTGGAGGTGACAGAGTTTAATATGTTAAGATTTCCATTGGCAGTGACCAGAATGGACAGGATTAGAAATGAGTCTCTCATTTGGACACCTTAGACTGTCCAGTTTGGAGACAAAGTTAAAGAGACTGAGATCGTTTGGACATGTCCAGAATAGGGCTAGTGGATACAATGGACAAAGATAAGGAGCTACCAAGCAGGAGAAAAAGAGGAAGACCTCAGAGTAGGTTCATGTTTGTAGAGGAAGACGATATACACA